TCTAAATAATATTGTACAATTCGTCTGTAAGACGTTGTAAGAAAATAAAGTTTCAATATGAAATCATGAAATATTAACTGTAATCAAATAATCAACTATTCATTATAGTGTCATACAAATCCAACTTTTTATACGTAATATGCAGGGTAAAAATAAGTATTATAATATAAAGTTACAGTAATCAAAAGTATAGAATATTCGAAACTTCAACCCATATGTTCTTTTTCTTCTTTGCCTTTTGTTTTTCTTAGTTTTTCTCAATTGACAAAGTCAAAATCAACAATATTGCTGGGTCATATGAAAGGGTCGTGGTTCAAACTCACACGTTAATCTTCCTAATTTTGGACTTCTTGTATCCCCCCATGGACCATTTTCAAGTAGTGGATTTATATAATTTATTTTACAATATTTCAAACTAGGTGTGAGATCCGTATATTATACGGATTGATTTAAAAGAAATATATTAAAAATTAAAGTGTAAACAGTAAATATTTTTTAATGAACTTCAAAATAAGAAAAAGGAAGAAAAATATTTATTGCAATTTAACATCATATATATGATATTTAATACTTTACATATATAACTATATGACTTTAATTTTAAAAATTGAAACAAACCAAAAATTGATAAATGGATAATATTTATTTCAGAAATACAACAAAATGATAAGTATCAAAACTCATGAGAGATTGATATGTGTCAAAAAAAACCTTCACTTATTAAGGAGGATTTCTTAATTTGATCAATTAGACTATTAGTATTTACAAATACTCCAACCGTAACCTCAAAACTTACTGTTCTTATTTAGTTTTCTATGGTGTACAATCAACGAGAAAGTGTTCAATAAGATATACTTGTCTCACTTAAAAATTGCAAATAATGATGTTATCCCACTATCATTTCTTTTGTATAAATATAGAAGTAAAGGAGATAGGTGTAATTGGGTTGAGTGGATGGGCTCCCCATTTTTCTATGTAGAAATTGGTAATGTACTCTGGTTTCTTTTGGCTAATTCCTTCTTAGCTTTTTGCTATGCTAAGTTGGGTGTTAGACTCTTAGGTGTTTATTTTTAATATATTTTCATTTGCCATTTAAAAAAAACAAAAAAAAATTATGGTTAACTTTTTAAGAATCCGAATCAAATAAAAAAGAATTTATAGTAGGAAGGTAAAAAATATACATATTCATATTTTCTTTTATCAAACCAACAAAATGAATAATTGGATGAATTAAAAGTAAGATTATTCATAAAAAAATTCAAAATAAAATCTTCATAATTCATTTTTCAGTAAATTAAGCAAAAAATACCAATTTTAGAGAGTAATAACAAAACAATCGCAAAGATGAATCATCAAGATGTTTTTTCAGAATTTTTTTTGTTAATAATATTTTTATTTATCTAATGATTCTTTTTCAAATTCATCAAAAGGAAATTCAAAAAAATCTTTTTATCTTCCTATCAAAAATTTACTTTTACCATATCTATATCCACCTTTTTTAAATGTTTTTTTTTAATTTAAGTAATTTTACCTCTTATATATCTTAAATGTTTTACTAAATCCCCTCATATAGTTTATCATTATTACTAACACATGTTATATTTTCCGTATTTTTCAGGTAGTTTTTCTGAAAAAATTTATTGGATATTTATTATTTTATGAACACACTTCATGTATCTTTATCATTTTTATAGGCACTAAATGCAAAAAAAAAAAAAAAAAAAAAAAAATCTAATAAAATAATTTTGATAGGTATTTTTTCCAAAACTATAAAATGTAAAAAAAAAAATCATGTATATAGTTATAGAAACACAAAAACGATAAAAATATTATGTAACAATAATGTTTTATAATATTTGATATTTTTTAATTTTAAAGTTTTGATAAATTCTTTTAAATTATATAATTTTTTTATAAAATATATATTCATTTTTTAGTAAATCAGTTGACTAACTTATAAAAATTTAATACCTAAATATATTATAGTATAAAATAAAGTTTTATTAAATATAAGGATCAAATGTGACAAAACATGAAAGAAATTAAAAAGTTAAAGAAAAACAAGTTTTTGGAGTGACCTCTACTAAAAACATTGTTCTCCAATGGTAAAATGATTTTCAATAGATTTAGAAAAAACTACTATTAGATATGTTCTTAATAATAGAAATGATATGATAATATAATATTTGAAAATGGATCAATAGTTTAGATCGGCTGGATTGATCATTATTTTGTAGATGGTAAAAAATGTTCAACTGCAACTTCGACCCCAAATTGTTCATAATATACACCAAAAATGGCTAACAAACTAAACATCGCAATTAGAAATAAGCGTCTTTGGCAACTTAACAACCTCTAAAAATATAAACAAGCAAGTTAACTTGCATCAAAGTCTTGGAGCATGGCACAAATGAGTTATCAACTCTCTAATCCTCATCGATGAGTTGTACTCCTTATTTCTAAACTTATACCCTTTTGTAAACCACTTGCGTAGTGGTCAATCGGTGAAACATTTTAGTGGATGTGGGTGATATTTCATCTACATGAGTTTTAATTTGGTTGTTGCTATTTGCTTCCGTGGCCATGGAGGTTCATTTGGTGCGACTCCATGACATGATGTATAGCTTCATGTTCGCATGTGGTATTAGTCGTGGTGTGCGTAAGCTAGCCCGGACACACTCATTAGGGAAACCCCTTTTTTTCTTAAAATAAAAATTTATACCCTTAGTATCAAAACTACTTTTGGGCTTCAGTTACTATGATTTTACCTATTTTGTGGTTCGGAATTGTCACCTCGAGTTAGTACATAATTGCAGATGGGTTAAAGTTGGTTCGTACATTTAAAATTGACTAACTAAATTAGAATGTTTCTGGGTATTCTCATTTTTCAATTATTTGTTCGATTATTAATTGTTGGTGATTTTAATATCACCTCACATTTTGTGTTATTAGAACTGACACGTGAGCTAATGAGCTTACTATTTATATTCTATATTACATGTTTGGTAAATGTGGAGTACATGAATGTATAAGATCGAATTATAAGTTGATACGACAGAATGACAGGGGTTAAGGGGTCGTGCCCACTTGCAGGGTCCTAGGGGAAGATCCTCTGGTGGGGTTTGGGGCAACACCCAAAAAGATATTCGAAAATTTGAATTAGTTTTTTTTATGGAAAAACTGAATTCTGATGAGCGATTTGGTAAAATTCACAAATCTTGTCAAATTTGGAAACCATTGATTATGCATTAAATTCGAGATTCTTTTAACTAATTTAGAAGATTAAACGAAATTTGTCATATTTATATATATATATATATATATATATATATATATATATATATATATATATATATGTTTCTTTTTTGAGCCGTATACAGAACCTTCTTCTCAGCTCTTCATTTTCTAAACGAACACAAAACTCTCTAACGATTGGCTTGTGTTTCTGTGCCCCGAGTTGGACGTATGAATACATACTAGGTGTTGTCGAGTTTGAAATAAATGTTGCCAGGAAAAAAAGATTTAAAAAAAAATCTACTACATATATGAAAAATAGGTATTATCGGTGCAACACTGGGTACCCTACAAGAACAACCAATGTCTGTGCCTAGATGCACATGTGTCATTTTGGATTTTCCTAGAGTGTATTTCCTGTAACGAAATATCAGTTCGGAAGGTTAACTTACACGATTCATAAGGAATCAGTTTTCTACCATCACCATTATATTCCCCTAATATTAATTATTATTAATAAAAATCTAAAATTTGTTTAGCAAGCTGATAAAATTTAGAAAACTTGTACATTAAAAACATTGTCATGGTTCTTGGAACGATTACTGGTTACATTTTTTTATCTTAGACATGTGATGCGTAATCACTTGTTCATTCCATAAGCAGAAACTCCTCAAAGTAGATATATATATATGTAGACTCCTTGTTCCCATAAATTATCTATGTCACTTTATGTGGATGCTTCCTAGACATTAGTAAAATGACCTTAGACTCTGGTATAGTTTCTTCCTTTTGTTTACCAGGAAAGTTATATATTAGTTTGATATATTCTCATCTACGTATATTTTAATATACTATAAGAAATTAAATTACATTGGGCTTTGGATGCAAGATGTAACATCTAAATTTAAAATAATAATAATAATAATAACAATAATAATAATAATAATAATAATAATAATAATTGATTTGGCTCTATCATAGCAAAATCCAATTGATGAAGTAATCAATTTGGTAAAAATATAGTCCAAGTGTGTAAAACTTCTGTGGTTTGGGAGTGGGACTTGGAGTGTGCAAAGTGCAAACATTGTCATAAGTTGTAGGTAAAAAGGGTGAATATATGAATTAAGTGGAAAATGCTTATTTATTTTAAATGCGTATTTGTTTTTATGTAGCAAAATAGATTTTTTACTGTTTTGTGCAACCATATTTAATTATATTACTAATTTCTATATGCATAAATTGGTAACATTAAATTGTAACACCTTCAAACATTTGTAGATAATCATGTCAAAAACGAACTTGATGTATAAATTGATAAAAAAAAAAAAGTAAAACACGATTTTATGTTTTATAGAAAACATAATGAACATATTAAGCTAAATGAAAATACGGTTTACAATAATTTAATAACGTGATAAATCGCATCCCTATTTTACAGCTACAATAAACTTATAATAAAAAGGCATATGATTTGCGCATGGGCCGGAGCATGATTAACAACAATTATATTGATTATTATACCGAATATGAATCTGAAAATTATATTAGTAAATTTTTTTTGTTTAAAAAAATATTTTATAAATCTTTTAGAATATAATTGAACCAGTATTTGGAGTGTCGTAGAAAATAGACATTGTTCCGTGCTTAAATTGTCATTCACTCGTTCTCGCTCCTCCCTTCCCTTTCTACAATCCCGAACAAACCGCGTTTGCACAGTCACATACCTCCACACATACACGCACAAACACCATGAAACCAGCACTTCCATGGCGGATTCCCTCCTCGCTCTCTTCTCTCTAGCCTTCTTCCTTTTTCTCAATTTCCCTTCCATCTCCTCACTTCCAACTGTATCAATTTCCCACATCAATTCCAATCAAACCCTCATTTGTGCGTTAACTAAATCCCCTGCCCAACAACAAACCCGCCTCAATTGCACCACTACTAGCTCCCCCAACGGATTTCAACTTCCGATCAACGAAGGAAGCAGGTATCCCTTCGTTGGAATCGTGGGTGGAGCTGGTTTCCTCTGTGCATTAAGCTCGCCGTTCTCGAATCCATCCACAACACCCACTTCGTTTCTAGTTTGCTGGAGGTTTCTCAACAATGGAACTACGGTGTATAAGAGGGTTTACCTTGGCCCATCTCTCCAAGACATTGATTCCGGTGACTCTCATGTTTGCGGGATTGTTAGTGCCACCAATCAGCTCCTGTGCTGGCAATGGGATCAATTCAATGATGATTCCAACGTCAATCGATCTCAATTCCGATCCAGTGTTACAGTTGGAGAGAATTACGTTTGTGGGTTCTCTGAATTTGGAGAAATAAGGTGCGTAGGAAATAACAGTAATACTTTCAACATCACTAACAGTTCTCCGGTGGGGAATTACAGTGTGATTTCCGCCGGATATAATCGTGTTTGTGCCGTTAATTCCACTGGTGGTTTAGATTGTTGGGGAGACGCTATAACTTCGAAACCAAATGGTGTGTTCAAATCAGTTTCCATGGGAGATAATCGATTTTGTGCAATCAGGGATAATGGAACAGTGATTTGTTGGGGCGGAAATGATTTCAGTTTGCCGGAAAATCTACGACAGGTTTCTTTCGAAGCATTGCAGGCAAATCGCGGTATTTTTTGTGGGATTTTGACTTCGAATTATTCGCTCTACTGTTGGGGGAATGAATCTTTGAACTCAAATTCTATTATTTTCACAGACGTGATTCCTGGTTTATGCACAACCACATGCAATTGTGGTACAATTCCAAACTACGGATCATTTTGCAGCAGAACATTGATGATTTGCAAGCCGTGTGTTTACAATCAAGACCCGCCGGAATCAGTCCCATCACCTGTCCCGCCACCACTTCCACCACCGCGCAACAGTGGTTGGAGTACCAAAATGGTTGCTTTCTTGGTGGTTGGAATCGTCGGTTGCTCATCAATCCTCGCTGTTCTTATCTTTCTCATCTTCAGATTCTGCAAATCAAACGAAGGTAGCCGAGTCCACGATTCCGGACCAATGGAAGACATCCAAATCGCATCACAACTTCAAACTTCAAACCGAATTCTCGTAAAGAAGTTGTCACATTTAGTAAGTACAGGAAACGCAAATCACTTGGAAGAATTCACTTTACAAACAATCATCAATGCAACTGACAATTTCTCCGACGAAAACCGAATCGGGATCGGAAGTTTCGGTTCGGTCTACCGCGCCATATTACCCAACGGTCAAAAAGTTGCGGTCAAACGGGCCGAATCAACGTCCTCCTCCTCCCTTCCTGGGGGGACAAAAAAGCGCAAAGAAGACACAGACAATGCGTTTGTAAACGAGCTCGAGTTTCTCTCTCGTGTTAACCACAAAAACCTAGTCCAATTACTAGGGTTTTGTGAAGAAAACAACGAACTCGTGTTAGTATACGAGTTCATGGAAAAAGGTAGCCTTCACGAACATTTACACGAATTTTTTAGCTCAAATATAATGTCATGGCCCGCCCGGATCAAATTGGCATTAGATGCGGCCCGCGGAGTAGAGTATCTTCATGTTTACGCGGAACCACCGATCATACATCGTGACATTAAGTCCTCCAACATTTTGCTAGACGGTGATTGGACTGGAAAAGTATCTGATTTCGGGCTATCACTGATGGGCCCACCGGATGATGGGTCGCACCTCTCGTTACGGGCAGCGGGTACGGTTGGTTACATGGATCCAGAGTATTATAAGTTTGAGCAGTTGAATGCTAAGAGTGATGTTTATAGTTTTGGTGTTGTTTTGTTGGAACTGTTATCTGGGCTTCGTGCAATTCACAAGAATGAGGCGGGAGAGAGGAGGAATGTAGTGGATGTGGTGGTACCGTATATTGTGCATGAGGAGATGCATCGAATTTTGGATCATAAAGTTCCCCCGCCTACGCCTTTTGAAATTGAGGCGGTGAAATATGTTGGATATTTAGCAGTTGATTGTGTGACTTTGGAGGGTAGAGATCGACCGTGTATGAGTGAAGTTGTTTCGTGTTTGGAGAGGGCGTTGATGGCTTGTTTGACGGTCCCGTCTTTTTCCCGGAGCTCGAATAGCTCTTCTGCGTGAATAACAATCCGTTTAATGACATAATTACTTGGAAGGTTGTGGATTCGAATCTTATAATATTTACAATTTAAAGAGGAAATGGGAATGTGATAATTTGAAGTTGTTTTCATAAATTGTTGATAATATTTTTCAATTTCTTTTTGTAGCATCTTCTTAAGTTTTTAAAGGTTCAATTATTGATTGAATTATTTATATGGGTTGTATTGGTTGATTATTCAACTTCCTATTTTCTTTATTAAAAATTGATTATTTTGATTATTCAACTTCCTGTTTTCTTTATTAAAAACTGATTATTTTTACATTATAAATTAGGGTCACAATGAATTTGAGAAATATTACAAACTAAAATTTATTATTGTAACTTCAAGCAAGGACGATGACCATTCTTCTTGTGTTTGAATGTGAAATTCTTAGTGTTGGCATTTTGAGTGTTTGGGATAAAATATTAAAGGCTCTGAAAATATCGATGGATTATAATTTTCTTTTTGCAGAATATTACATTAGCAAGATTGGTTGTTTATTACTAAATAACAAAAAAAGATTACATCAACAAGTTACATGTTATAACAGAAAATATTAATCATAAAAAATGAAGACAGATATATAAAAATATGTTATCATGTCCAAGGTTTTACCCTCAAACGACTCGATTCGAAGTATCATGTGGCGTAGGTTGTATTGGATGTATCGGATTTGCATGGCAGGTCAAAGATATCAACGTGGATTGAAAAAGAAGATCGATCGACTCTTGAAGTCAATGAAATCGAGAAAGTCTAATAATTTGAAATCAAGGGTTGACTTCTCGACGCTCCCCCTCCATTATCACATACTTTTTAGCCAACCCCTTTATTTACTCTTGATTATATTAAAATTATAATACACGTAGGTGCAATTACTTGTGGCATATCAATATATATTTGCAATGAAGGTCATTAAATCAATATATTTCAAGCTAATTAGTTAATTTATAATATTAATTTAAATTTTGTTTTATAATACTAGATTGCGCATCGAACAGGTATCCAACCAAATTTCATAATACTGGTACCAAAATCAAACCAGTTAGTTTTTAGAATATTGGATGGAACTCGTTGGACCAACAACAATGTGTTTCTTTTTTTTTAATTTAAGTTTTAGAACATGCATTAAACCGATGAGAATCAGGTGCGATAACGGTTACCTATTACTAAATTTTGAATGAATTTAGTGAAACAATGGAAAGAAAATAAATTATTCTTTAATATGCCTTGAGTACGTAGAAAAATCTTTTAGATTTGTTTTTTCATTAGGTGTAGACAATTTTCCGCTCTCTTTTTTCTATTCAAAATAATAAATTTATGATTTTTTTAATAAATAAGACCAAAAGTTTCAAGACTTTACAAAAAATTCTTTGTTTTTAAACAAAGCAACATTTGATAACGAATTTGTTCATCATCTCAAGGATTTTGTTTGGAATTCAGAAATTTTATAATAAGTTTCAGATTTAAAATGCTTTGAATAGACGGATAAAATGTTTTGCAGTTCAGTCATCTCTCATGTGCACAAAAAATCCGTTTGTTTGTATATATATTTTTGTTTGTTCGGCTAAACTTAATTTGTTTGGTTTATTTTATAATAGCAAAATATAAATATGTAGCCCAAAACACAACTTTGAGATAAATCTCCAAACTTGATGTTCAAACCAAATGCAATCTTTCATTCCCGGATAGAAGTGAAACAGAATCTAAATAAAAGTCCAACAAAACTCCACCAAGAAAAACTCAACATTCCCATGGGGGCTAAAGCAAATTTAAGGGGGCAACAATCTATTGATGGGTTTCAACCTTCTTCTTCTGCCACAGCCTATCAAGGGCACTATCAGCATCTCCCTACAAAAAGAAAAATTTTAATTACAAATGTCAATAAAACATTATCGCAGAGATTAAGTCATTGTCATAAAGCTTATTATGTTAAAAGACGAAACTAACCTGGGCACGGACAAAACCACAGAGGGCAAATGTGGAAAACTGACCAGTATATCGGCCACTTTCATCCAAATGCCCTACGTTAATTTGGACTGAAGCATGATCTTTTGAGGTAATTAGCCTGTTTGTAGCAGAGCTGGAAAAGAAAAAAAAAATTGAGCTAATTTTTCACAATCTTTTACTTTTATAATGCAAATATAAATGTTAAAAAACATACCATTTCCTTGGGATATAAAGATCCATGTTCTGTCCCTCTTCGTTCTGCATGTTTGCAAGTTCTTTTAACAACTGTAAAATCAAGAAACAAAAATAAGATGCCACAATTAGCTAAAAAGTTAAGGATTATCGCTATATAATTCAGTATAATGACCAAATTCTTGTTATTAACTTTAAGTTCAAAGTTTATGAAGTAAGTTCACACAACAAACAAACAAAAAATCAAGCTTTTACAAAGAATAGCAAGCAAAATACGTTAATGATCCAAGCTAGTTGAACGAAAAACAGATCAAATTTGATATAAAAAAGCTTGCAATTATATGTAATGTGTGAGGCAAAAACCTAGTAACATTGCACAAATAATCTAACAGGATAGCATGTACACCGTATGAACTCCATAAGGAGACTCCGGCATTGCTAAGGAATACGATCTATTAAACAAGAACATGTTTAACATTCCAAATCTATTCCTTACAAATTAGAAAATCGATGAAACTTATACATTTCTAGTCGGTATTATTAGCAAATTTTCTTCGCTAGCTAAAACAATCATATCAATTATGAACTGAAAAATACAAAATCAATTTACATATATTATTGAGAGTGAGAGTCTAATCAGAAAGAAGCCAGTGCTAGAGCGCATTTCGGAAACATAGGTTTTACAACGAAAATAACAGTTTCGAACGGAATTCAATTGAACAATTTAAAATGGAGAATAACAATAGTATAGTTTTATGATATACAGTAGAGGACGATGGAGGAATACAACACAAACCTACGATGAAGATGGTTTAGTTCGGCTGTAAGCTGCTGAGCGAAGAGGCGTCTGGCTTAAAGGATATGAAAACCCTAATTGCGTTCCTTTATATAGTTGTATGCGGAGGCTAAAATTATCATATCCCTAATCAGTTTGGTCCTTACACTATTTCTTATATTCAATTTGACCCCTTCAAGGATTCTTTTTTGACATTTAAATTCACCAAATATATTTGGAAAAAAAATGCATGGGTTATTAACCATCTAATATGATCTTTAAAATTGAAGTCATGAAGAAACTTTTTATACACAATAGATTTATGCCATCAACATTCCATAAACATTTGTTGAATATCAAATCATTGTCAAAAATCACATCATAATATGAACCTTACGTCAATGAATATGCATGTGATATTCTTCCACCCCAAGTTAACCTCACAACTCTACTAATTGCTATCCAAACTCATCAATTACTGCATGCATCAGAGAATAGACATACATACACACATAATACGTCTACGAGGGATGAATAAACATTAATTGAAACCCAAATGACAAAAATATCGCATGTAATGGTCATGGAAATCATATAGTACGATCCTTAAACTTTAACTTTGTATCCTAAGGTTGTATTTAGCGCGTTATGTTTGGCAAACCAAAAAATAGTTGATAATGTAGCTTTTTAAAAAGCTAATTAGATTATAATTCTTTTTAAAAATTTTCCAAATATATTCTTAACTAATTATAAAAAATATATTTTCTAAATGTTTTTTTATATCTTTCAACTAGTTTATCATCTAGTTTTTACTAAAAGTCATTTTTTGTTAGCTAGCTTATAAGCTAGTAACTGATTTTTCAGTTATCAGCTACTACCTAGCTTTTCAGTTAATCTGCCAAATATAACCTAATATTGAGAAGAAAACTAGTGAAAAAAAAAACAGAAAACTGGTTAAAGGTGACATATTAATAAACACAATCTTGTCAGTAAAAAAGATTTACATAAATGGTGTCGAAGTAAGCATAATATGCCACCTATAACTAGTTTTCTGTCGATTCTCTTGGTTTCAATCTTAAGATCATGATTGGACTTTAAAATACGGATTATGTTTGAGTTAATGGTTTTTTTTCATGTATTCTTTTTTACTTTTGTGTTTTTCATTAAAGTTTAACAAAAGAAAAGTAATTTATTGATACAAGACATAAATGTATGTTCATAATTTAATTTTAAGAAATTAAATTGTCTTATACATTTTATGCTTAAAAATATTACTACCCACTAACATTATGACATGTGTCACTATTCTACAATTCAATTTAATTTTATTTGATATAATCATAATATACTCTTAATCAAAATAGTTAAGTAAATATAGAATGGTGACACGCGTCAAAAATTTAATGGATAAAAATATTTATAGACAAAAGATAGGAGTCAATTTAATTTCTCTTTAATTTTTAGTCTCTATGATTAGTCTCCCATATGCCTAAAATATTATTAATGATTCATGATTTACCCTTGTTTGATGGACAAAGGTGGGTAATAAAATAATAAAACTGTATATTAATAACTTTAAATTTTAACATCTATTATAATAAATGAAGATTTTTTTGCCATATGTCCTCTTCTCATTCATTTGGACACATGTCATTTTTCTAGAATTTTTAATTTTTTCTATTTTCCACTTATCATTTTATTGTATTTTAATTTTATTAAATTAAAATTTCACATTTACTGTGTAAGGTAATATATATGTAAAGTATTTATTAAAAAAAAATTATATATGTAATGTATTCAATACATTAAAGTCTCATTAATTTTAATAATTCAAATTTTTTTTTATTTTTCTTATAAATTCAAACTTTTCAAATTATTAAAATTTTATATTTATTTTTTTTAATTAAACTCATGTATTACATAGGTTTCACACCTAGTAATTAATAAAACTTATACATAAAAACATTATGCTCTTGGTTGTTCGATTTGGGTTTCAGTTTTTATGTAAGGAACAATGACACCAAACCTCTTGATTTTTCTAACAACCAAAAACCAAAATAAAGGTTTTCAGTTCCGAATCTTCAATTTTGTTTTTACTCACCCTAAACAAACTTTCTCCCAAATTTGTTATCCCCAATTTACGACCCCCAAAAGCCAGCCACGATAGAATCACAATTATCCCTCATATGGATTTTATGGGACATTTAAGGGATTCTCTTTGTAGTAATATTTATTTGTTAAAATCAACCTCAATACACTTTGGGAATTAAAAAGGGATGCTATATTGATGTTCTTTATAACCGGGCACCTATGAACAAATTAACAACACAAACTCTAAAACATTTTGATAACAATATGAATATAATAAATACATAAAAACAAAACATCTCAGGTTCTTTATATCATATCCCCGACCCTTACCCATCTGGCTATGCAATTTGAGCTATCTCCAGCAAAATTTTGTGCAGTGACTGTGGTTTAGAGAAGAAAGGGCAATGATCACTACCCTTGATCTTGAAAACACCTTCTGGTGGATTTTCTCTTACAAGCTTTTCTTGAATATCTGGTGAAAGGGCATGATCATCAAGTGTTTGAACATAAAACCTACGCCCCTTTCCATATTTCTCTTTTGATAGTGACAGGTTCTGCATTATGGGTCCCAGTGGGATCGGTCTCACTGAAACCATAGCCAGAGCTATATCCTGCAATCACTCATCATCCATCAAAATTTATAATAATAAACTTTCCATGAAATAAATTCTTATATATCAGGTTTCATGAATCATCAAGAATGCATAATTCGAGTGGAAGATTACTTTTGCAGGTGACTGATTGAAATACAATCCACGCATTTGTTGCTTCTCAAACATGAATCCAGTTGCTGGATTGTCTTTCCCATTTCCATGTATCAAGAACTTGGATTCCTTCATAAACAGCTCTGCAGATCCAAGCTGTGAAAAGAGAATTTATATACTACATGTCTTAATCCAATAAGCTGTTTTTTAAGTGAATGCATACCTCTTCAGCAAAAACATCAAAGGGTTTTTGTCCATCGGCTACCATTGTCCCACATAAAAAGATTGCTTTAGAAATCTTATCTTGAAAATGCTCTAATGCATATGAAACACAAGCACCTCCACTACTATGTCCCACTAAAATTACCTACAAAGTTAACAAATAAACAAACGTATATAAAAAAACAATTAATGATGTTAAAAGTCAAAGAGGTAGAATAGAAATATGTTTTTACCTTTTCATCTTCGGGTAAATTTTGCAAATAATCAGTTAGTGGTTTTGAATAGTCTTCAAGTGTAGTGACATTGTTTGTGTCCTTCAAATCAATACCGGATCCAGTAAGATCTAATGCAGTAGGAAGCATTCCGGATTCTTCTAGAAGAGCAATGGTTTTATACCAACACCATGCTCCAAATCCTTCTCCATGTATCAAAACAATTTTCTTCGTTTCAAGATTCTCCAAGAATTCTGGTGACTGAACATAAAAAAGTGTTAATTGCAAGAAACAGCTACATACTTTCACTTATTACACCATTGTAGTTTGAAAGATCTACCTAATTATAGAAATGTAGTTTGGAGAATATTTAAAATACAAATGTCCTGATAAGACAATAAATGAAAGTACAATGTTGTAATTGGGTAGAGTTTTTCAAGTACAATGTTATGGATAATTTACAGACTGACTACACCATTAGTGCAGATTTACGAACTGGTTTACAGTTTTCCTTTTGGAGATATAAATTATTTCATTTATGATTTTGCACCAAAAACTAAAAACTTCTACTGACTATCAATGCTCATAAACATCAAGCAGTGTCCCATACTTCCAAATCACACACAACAACAACAGAGAACATATACAATAGATGGAAATTGAATGGTAAATTCAATGAAGTTATGAACTTATGGTACTAATAAGTCCTGTTCTAATCATTTATCTCAGATTCTACTCCTCCCTTCTCAACACATCATAAATTTACCAATTATCTTGAAACAAAATTGTTAGGTATATAGAAGCTTCCCTTTGAGAAAAAACACAAAAAGCTTAAAAGTTGCTTCAAAGGTAAACCGGTATGAATGCATAGCTAAAAGAACAAAGGAGCAACCTAATAGAAATAGTCAACGCTGCAGAAAGGCTATATGATTATCAAGATACTACTAAAGAAAAAGAAAAAGCTCCTTTTTAGGCTATTGAATTCTTCAAACAAATCAAATTAACTTTTTCCCTCACGCCTTTTCACAAAAATTAAACATATTAAATAAGCAAAGTAAACCCACTAACGAAAAAGCAAAAGGATATAAATGAAGCGACCTGTTTTTGCTGTTTGGGGTTAGTCAAGGTCGGATCCGAGATGGGGTTATTGCGGCGGCGAGAACTGGTGGATCCAATTCGTCTAGACAAAGAACCATCGAATCGCTGAGACGATTGATGGTGTTGAATTGCAAGAGACAAAGCTTGCATGTGTAATAACTCCTCATCTGATTGCAATTTCCTCTGTGATCGATTCCCCCCACCGAATCTCCTACTACTCTTTGACCCGTTACTATTGTTCTTCGTCTTGCAACTAAATCGATTACCCATTTCTTGCCAGTGGAAAATAGGGGGATTACAGAATACAGATTTTGAGATTAGAGGAATTTGGGGATGTCGGTTGCGTATAAAACCAAATTATGAGAGCTGGAGCTCATGTATTACCTGTATAGTTGAGTGTTTTTATCTAGGGTGCACAGAAGCAGAGAGAGATTAGGTGAAAGTACAGTGAGACTTTAATGGGATTATCAATCGAAAAAAAAGGCCCACGCAAGGAGCTGAATTTGCGACCCAATTAATTGTTGATTTCCACCGTCTTCTCTGGATTTTAGTTCTTGTGGGGCACGCTCTTTTGTTTTGAACCTGTGAAAACGTGTTCCGCCGAAAAGGAAAATCTCATCGCGACTTTACTTCATTACAATTTACAACTTACAACTTACAAAATCAAAGATCAGAGGAAGTGAAGTTCTCAAAATTAGAATATAGATCTTTACCAAAATTAATCGTTCAAAATTAGAATACAATCTTTACCAAAATTAGCCGAAACTTGGTTGTAAGTTTTAACTTTCCTATACTAACAAATTTTACCGTAACAAATCAAAATCATTTTGACATTTGTCGTTTTTTCAAGACTTTTGTCATATTTATTAATATGAGATTTTGAATTACCTAAATTCTATATTTCATTATATATGTTTTTAATTTTTATTAATAGAAAATTGATTAATTCCACTAATTAATCTCATATATATATATATATATATATATATAATATATATATATATATATATATATATATATATATATATATATATATATATATATATATATATATATATAAAGTATTCATTGTATTGAATATATAAATCAACATTATAATTATTGAAACACTTATTATTTAAGGTAAGAGAAATTACATATTTTTTTATGTTTTATTCTACTCGTCATCTTCCATAGAAATGCTGATAATATTTAATGAAATTAATAATAATTTAATCAACTTGTCATCTTCCATATGATATGTGTAGAAAGTTAATAAAAGAAAATATAGTAGAATATTTAATTTCTCTTAATGTAAATATATTTTTCTCAATAAAATTGGTAAATAGTTTGTGTTTTTCTAGCACTAAAAATATTTATTATAAATTTTTTTGTTACATGAATTAAAATAATGAAATTTTATAAAACATTATTGTCAAAAATGAGATATAATAATTTTAGTTGTGTGTTCTATGTTTTTAAATATTCTATAACTAATTCACTTTTATCTTTAAATTTTGAGATGATTTAGACTATTTCCAACTCACTTTCATTTTTTCCTTCAAAATAGGATAAAAGATGGAGTAAATAGTATTTCATCTCCGATCCTATTTTTTTTTTTTACCTCAAAAAGTATATTCCTAATATATTTCATTATTCTAACTTACATAGATTGTCAAACATACACCTTCTACTAATTTGATTTTAACAAATATATAATCTATATTTTTTTCATTACAATAATATTAAATAAATAAGATTATATTTATAACACACTTATAAACTTTTGTAAAATACATTATCATTTTTTAAAATTCAATATTTATTTAATTTTTTATATGAATTTGATGAAAAAAAAAAACAAACTTTATATTTATAATTAATAAATGTAATTTAATATATAACAAAAATATTATAAGTATTAAATAGTACATTTAAATTATAATTAGTAGGTAAAAATAAACTAAAATGTATAAATATATAAGAGTAAATTACTGAAATCGTCCATGTGGTTTGGTCAAAATTACACGTTTGGTTCCTAATTTTTTTTTTGCACTCGGATCGTCCCTATGGTTTGATTTTGTTGTGTTTTTCGTCCCTATGGTTTGATTTTGTTGCATTTTTCGTCCCTTACATACATAAAGTTAGGGACCAAACATGCAGTTTTTACCAAATCATAGGGACGAAAAACGCAACAAAATCAAATCACATAGACGATCCAAGTAAAAAAAAAAAAAAAAAAAAATTAGCGACCAAACGTGCAATTTTGACTAAACCACATTGACGATTTCAGTAATTTACTCAATATATAAACATAGGGACTAAAACCGACAACATAAAGTTCATCCCCATTTTCGGGAGAAATAAATACTATAACACCATATTTGGTGTAATACTATAACACTCTAAATTTTTAAATATATTTTTTTTTTCATTTTTAAAACCACATAAAACACAATCTCACATTTCTCAAAAACCCAAATGTATAAGTTGTTCAAAACTTAAGATAACGAAATGTTTAATAATATCCCAGAATCCTCGAAACAATATAACTCTACCTGGTGTGTACAATCAAGCCAGCGCCTTCCCACGGTCTTGAGAGGTACCTGAAACACATTTCATACAACATTGTAAGCACGAAGCTTAGTGAGTTTTCCAAAATACCACATATACAAATAATAAGTCTCTCATGGCTATGGATCGGCATGGACCCTCCGGTCATGCCTCTCAGTAAAGACTTCCCGGTCTCACGGCTCGGTATGGACCCTCTAGTCATATGTCTCGACGAAAAGCCTCTGGTCTCACAGCTCGTGTTGGACCCTCCCAGTCTTGTATCTCAGTGAAGACCCTCCAATCTCACAGTTCGGTTTGGACCCTCCGGTCCTGACTCAGTAAGGCACAAAATAATATACCACGTAAATCGCAAAGACAAAATACGTAATATCACATAACTCAGTATAAGCACATAAGACCCTCCGGTCGATAACTCAAATAAGACCCTCTGGTTATACAATGTTTCCACTTAGGTAAGTATAGTGAGAAGACTTACCTCGTAAGTTAGCAAGTATGTCTCGTACTCAATGGTAGGTATAGACTCCGTCTACACACATCATAATAATCTCTAATTAACAATTAATAATAACATCTATAATAATGTTAAACTACCCTTCTACTAACTCTCAGAAAGGGTGAAAGACCATTTTACCCCCCCCCCCCAAATGGTTTCCGAAGTCCACACTTGACCAAACCCTAAAAGTCAACGGAAGTCAACACTCGAGTCAACAATCCATGTTGACCCAACTCGTTGAGTGCATCTATGCGACTCGTCGAGTTCCTTTATTTCTTCTGAAAAATCAGGAAAATCTAACTCAACTCGTCGATTTGTCTCTCCAACTCGTCGGGTCTGTAACGCGTCGAGGGCATCGGGGAAAACCCTAACATCTCATCGAGTTGGCTCACCAACTCGTCGAGTCCGTTGAGTCCATTCTCTCATTCAGCCGTTTTTAAGCAGAACTAAGACCCCATACTCTAAATCGAGCCTTCTAAGGCTGAAATACCACGTAAAGCTGCAAGCTTTATGTCCATACATGGCATATAGGGCTAAGTTTTCCGCCCCAAAGCTCAATAGAGGGTTTAATGCATGAAAGTTGTCCAATAGCTTGATAAAGCTTGAATCTTTAGGCCCAAGGGACCTCATAATATCCAGATATGAAATTTCAACTTCATGGCATGCTCAAACAACTAAAGGACTCAAGAAGAAGACGAAAATGACCCTAAACTTCCTAGTAAAGAGATCTATCAAACAAATGGTCAAGGTAATAGCTTTTTACCTCCAAATGGTAGCTAACACTGAAAGAACACTGGATCTAAGGGGTCATTCTCGTTACAAGCCTTTTGCTCCTCAAACTCCTTCCAAGAATGCATTAAAAATACAATTTTAGCCTCTCTCTCTCTCTCACACACACACACACAAATGATATAACTCGATTAGGACTTAAGGTCCTTTAAATATGGTGTAAACCCTAGAAATTAGGGTTTTCACAGTCAACTCCTACTTGTCGAGTCGGGTCCCCCAACTCGTCGAGTAAACTCTAAAAATCATGCGGCCATCTCAGTCTCCTACTCAGCGAGTTGGGGCTTCCAACTCGTCGATTTGCCTTGACAAAATGAATATAATTTAATTAAATAATTATACCTGATAGTCTAGATGTTACAATTCTCCCCCTACTAGAATCAGACTTCGCCCTCGAAGTCATCCTCCAGAAATAACTATGGGCACTGCTCACGCATCTCGGACTCCAGCTCCTAAGTCCACTCGGATCCCTTCTGATGTTGCCACTCAACCTGAAACAAAGGCAACTCTTTATTCCTCAATACATTCACCTTCTTATCCAAAATCACCACCAGCTTCTCAATGTAGTTCAGGCGATCATCAACCTGAATGCCCTCTAAAGGGACCATTGTCGTCTCGTCGACTACACACTTCCTCAGTTGGGACATATGGAAGGTGTTATGAATCTGGCTCAACTCTGCAGGGAGCTCTAGTCGATAAGCTACCTTACCCACTCTAGCGATCACTCTGAAAGGAACGATGTATCTAGGGCCCAACATGCCTTGCTTCCTGATTCGGATGACCTTTTTCCATAGGAATACCTTCAGGAGGACAAAATCTCTGACTTGGAACTCTAGATCTGAATGTCGCCGGTTTGCGCAACTCTTCTGACGAATCAGGGCCATTAGTAACCTCTATCTGACATATTAGATTTGCTCTGTCATCTTGAGCACTATCTCAATGCTCCCCATTACTCTTTGCCCTGCCTCTCCCCAACAGATGAGAGTACGGCATCTCTTCTCATATAAAAGCTCAAAGGGAGGCATACTAATACTGGAGTGATGGTTGTTATTGTATGAAAACTAAGCCAGGGGCAAGTAAGTGTCCCAACTTTCACCGAAGTCCATAAAACACGCGCGTAGCATGTCCTCGAGCATATGAATCGTCCGTTCACTTTGCCCATCTGTTTGTGGGTGGTAAGCGGTGCTAAAATGCAGCCGGGTACCCAACTCTTTATGAATTTCTTTTCGGAACCTGGAAGTAAAATGCACATCTCGATCTGACACTATCGATGTTGGCACCCCATGCCATGCAACTACCCCTCGAACGTAGATCTCATCCAGTTTCTCTGCATAAGAGCTCTCACTTATAGCCAGAAAGTGAGCACTCTTCGTCAACAGATCTACAATCACCCATATCGCATCGACGCCTCGTTCAATCCTTGGTAACTTGGTAATAAAGTCCATGGATATTTGTTCCCACTTCCACAGGGGAATCTCCAAAGGCTACAATTGGCCATGGGGACGTTGGTGCTCTGTCTTGACTTGACGACAGGTCAAGCATCTCTCGACTACCCATGCCACATCTCTCTTTATATAGGGCAACCCATAATCCCTTTTCAAGTCCAAATACATCTTGGTGGCCCTCCGATGGATTGAGAATCTCGACCTATGGGCCTCCTCCATCAAAATATGTCGAGCTCCACCTGTATATGGCACTCATATCTGCCCACGAAAGGTCATAAGCCCCCGACTATCAGTCTCAAACTCAGAAATATGCCCAATCACCCGCTCTCTCTTACGGTTCTTTGGTCTCATGGATACCACATAGGCTTCTCGGATGGTATCTAAGACTGGAGTCATCACCGCCATCCTCATGCACACATCTCGGATCGGAGCACTCGCTGCTCTGCGACTCATGGCATCAGCTACCACATTAGCCTTGCTAGGGTGATACAAAATCTCACAGTCATAGTCTTTCACTACATCCAACCACCTCCTCTATCTCATATTTAGGTTGGTCTGATCCATAAGGTACTCCAGGCTCTTATGGTTCATGTATATGGTACATCGGACACCATAAAGATAGTGGCGCCAAATCTTAAGGGCGAATACCCCCTCCCCCAACTCTAAATCATGGGTGGGATATCTTATCTCATGAGGCTTCAGCTACTTCGACGCATATGTTATAACGTGTCCCATCTGCATCAACACGGCACCCATCTCCGATATTTATGCATCACAGTAGACTATAAAGTCCTCCACTTCCTTTGGAATGACTAACACTAGAGCTTCGCACAATCTTTGGCGAAGAGTCTCAAATGATGCCTACTGCTTAGGCCCCCGGGCAAAAGTAACACCCTTCATGGTCAATCTGGTGAGAGGAACATCAATCTTGGAGAAATCTCCGATAAACCTGTACTAGCAACCCGCCAAACCCAGAAAACACATAATCTCAGATGGGGATCTCGGCAATCTTGCCCGGGTCGACCAAAATCCCATTCTGGTTAACGAGGTGCCCCAAGAACTGGACCTCTCGTAACCAGAAATCGCACTTATAGAATTTGGCATAAAGCCTCTCCATCCTTAATACCCCAAGAATCTCTCGAAGATGCTCCACATGTTGTTCCCTAAACCTCGACTACAACAAAATGTCATCGATGAAGACGATCATCGACCGATCCAATGTGGGCCTGCACACCTGGTTCATGAGGTTTATGAA